TTGTGCATCTGCCTTTGCAATGCAAACATCATCTCTACATCCCATATAAATTTTCGCATGCATTCTTCAGACTGCACCGATGGTTAGTCACAATTGCTCTCACTGACGCATCAATGATCAACATTGAATAACACAGTTGCTCCCAATGACGCATCACATTGAGTCGTCACGCTTGTGGTTAGTCACGTTATCCATGACTCGCTTTCTTTTGTGTGCGGTAGACGCTTCATCCAACTCTGTGCAGGTCTAACCACTTTTCTCAAACATTTTTTCAAGGCAAGTACTTGTGTATTACTTAGGCCGTCTCATGATAAATCTCAATTGTGTATCGATGATCATCGTTGAATTACACAGTTGCTCCCAATGTCGCATCGACGACCAATATTTATACACGATTGTTTCCAATGACGCATCACATTGAGTCATTCACAGTTATGGTTAAAAATGTTCACCAAGACTCACTTTCTTTTGGGTGTGGTAAACACATTTTTTGTCTCTCTGCAGGTCCCACCACTTTTTTCATACATTCTTTCAAGGCAAGTAGTGGTGTCTCACTTGGGCCGTCACATGAGAATCTTTTTTTTTTTTTAAGAGTGTTGAGATATAAAATAATTTAACACAATTATAAAATAACATTATTTTATTTATTATTATTATTTTTAAAAAAATCTCGTCTATACCAATATTGTGATATGTATAAAGATGCCTTCATTCAGATATTCATAAAGATATCATATAAAAATAAGTACAATAATTACTAGAGTCATTAAGCATACTAACATAACATAGTTTTAATATTTAAATAAGAATTTTAATTAAAAATATATGTATTATTTTGTACGAATGAAAAACTTATAAATCCTTTGAATTAAATTATTTTCTTAATTGAAACCGTATAAAAAACATATATTTTTCTTACCGTATAAAAATTACAACCAACCTTATGTTTATCGAACCAAACCAAGTGAAGTCATCACTATACTTTTAAAGGTTGCTATGTATATTTTTTATATAGAAAGTACTATTTTATTAAAAAAAAAAAAAAAAATGTTACTTCCACAAACTATTAACATTTCAAATTTGTTTTATTTCATTAAAAAACCACTCATCTTTACATACAAACCTTCATAAACTTCCACTTTCTCTTATTATTTTTATCATATAAAAAATATAAAAAATATTATTAACATCTGGGTCACCAGTGCATACTTACGGAGGTCCCCGGACAGACCTCCGTACGTACGGGCGTTCGGGGTTCCGTACGGGGTCCGAACCCGACGGCGGTCGGCCCCCGCAAAAAATTATTTCGGGGCCTAAAAATAATTGTTTTTTTTGAATTGTTTTTTGGGAATTCTATATGACGTGAGGTACCTGCCTGTAAATTTTCAAGTCATTTGGCTAAGCAAAGTAAGAATTAAAAAACGCCAAAGATAGCGGTGTCAAAACGTGCTCGCCCACGTATTTTTTCACTTTTTACTTTTTGTTTTCACTTTAGTTTGGGGTCTAAACAATTTTATTATTTTTTGAAACTTTTTTAGTGGGTTTTATATTATGTGAAGTACACATTTGTAAATTTTCATGGCGTTTAGGTATGCCAAACAAAAATGAAAAAACGCCAAAGATGGCGGTGTCGAAACATGCTCGAGCACTCACTAAATTTAATTCTTTTTTATTTTTATTTATTTATTTATTTTTATTTATTTTTATTAGTAGTATTTATTTTCCGTATTTTATTTTTTATTTCAAATTTGGTAAGGAATTCGGATGTAATGCTCGGGCAAATCTTGTTTAGTTTATTTCTCTCCATAACATATCTTTGTTTCATTTTTTTTTTATGACGTTTTTTTTTTTTTTTTTTGGTCCACGTTCGGCCTGAACGGCCAAACGTTCGGGCGTTCGGGTTTGGGCGTTCGGCCCGTCCCAAACGCCGGTTACCCTGATTAACATTCCTTTTCGTTTTTAGTACATAAGTCTATATCAATAATAATTATTGTTAAAGTTAATGATAATCATAAATAAATATTCATACTTAAGTTTTTATTTTCAATAACAGGGTTACCTGACCAAATGTTCGGGGGCCCCCAGGCTGGCCCCCAGGCTGGCCCTCGAACGTTCGGGCATTCGGGGTCCCGTTCGGGGGCCGAACACCTTCAGGTTCGACCCCCGCCAAAAAATGTTTCGGGGCCTAAAAATAAGTTTTTTTTTTTTAATTTATTTTTGTGAGTTCTCTATGATGTAAGCTACACGCCTATAATTTGAAGCCATTCTACTAAGCCAAAAAAACATTAAAAATCGTCAAAGATGGGGGTGTCAAAACATGCTCGCCCACTCACTATTTTATTTATTTTCACTTTTAACTTTTTGTTGTTACTTTATTTCGGGGCGTAAATTTTTTATTTATTTTTTGAAAATTTTTTAATGAGTTATTGATTATGTAAACTAAATATCTGTAACTTTTTAGAGCATTTTTCAATGTCAAAACATAATTAAAAATCGGCAAAGATGGCGGTGTCGAAAAGATACTGACACACTCACTCATTTTAATTCTCTTTTTATTTTTTCTTATTTTTATCATAGTGTTTATTTTCTGTACTGGATTTTTAATTCAAATTTGGTAAAGAATTTGGATGTAGTGCCCAAACAAATGTTGTTTAGCTTATATTTCGCCATAACATTTCCCCCCCCCCCCCCCCCCCCCCCCCCCCCCCCCCCCCCCCCTCCACGTTCGGCCCGAACAGCCGAACGCCTTCCGAAGGGGTCCCGTACGTTCGGGCGTTCGGCCCATCCCGAACGCCGGCAACCCTGTTCAATAATAAATTTAAAATCATAATATAACAAACTATTGGTAAATTTTTATTAGCACTACTTAGTTAAAAAATTCCTTATCGCCTATAATACTAAACGTATCACTATTTCTCTCTCTCTCTCACTTTATATATATATATATATATATATATATATATATATATATATATATATATATATATATATATATATATATACAGGGTTACCGGTGTTCAGGACGAGCCGAACGCACGAACCCGAACGCCCGAACCCGAACGCCCGAACCCGAATGCCCGAACCCGAACGCCCGAACCCGAACGCCGGAACGTACGGAACCCCTTCGGAAGGCGTTCGACAAAGCAGAATGACTTCAAAATTTATAGGCGTGTAGGTTACATCATAAAAGTCGTGATGATATATGCATTCCTTTGTAGGTTAGTTTGAAAAGGTGGGTAGCAGTAACGCGCAAAATTTGGATGCATTAGCTCTTATAAAATTTTACTCTTATATAAAATAAAATCAAGGGTTTGAAATATGGGTTGATGTATTTCAAAAACTCAATAGAATAAGTATGATTTTAAAGGCCCGATGATTACTACAAAATCAACGAAATATTTCTTTTATAAACCAGTCAATGATTTACTTAAGCAATACAAAAAATACTGGCAATAAAAACTTATATACTTTTACTACCCGTTGAACCTAGTAAACCGAATATTATGTCAAATCGATGTTATAGACTAAAAGTATTTTATTTTAAATAACTTAAAGAATAATGATAGTTCTTATCACCACTTACTTTACTATTTGAAAATTTGGTCAAAAATTTGTCATTAAAAACGGAAAAAAAAACTTATTAAAAAAAATAGAAACAAAAAGGTGAAAAAAAAAAGTTTGACACAATATTTTTTTTTGCTATTTAATTTTATTTGTCTTTTTTTAATATATATTTATAACCACATAGCCGATAAGTTTGATTACCTGTGGTATTTTTTGCACCAAACGATAGCAAAAGGAAATCATTAAAGTCGACGCTCTTAAATTTTTGCATAAAGGTACTGACTGCTCGCGGTTGGTATGTCGAAAAACCTATTCGCTCTGCCTACGTTATGGTGTACTCACAACTCCATATGACACCCATCGTCATATAGAGTTAAACCACAAGTACTTATAAAATCTTGTGCCTGTAAACAAGCTGTCACTTATGGACGACTACGAAAGCGCCCAAATTCATCCAACGAGAAACATTTACTCTATTTTTTTCCATGATCGATAGTTGGGCTACGTATTGGTAGTTTAATTGTCTCACATGCCCCTCCATGATATAGAGCTCATTAAGATCGTTCATAGGAGAAAGACCTACCTCAGATGCAAAGCACAACTTGTGGTGCACAGTCCTGCAATGCCAGTCCTCATGCGGGCAACCCCATGGCCATTCCACATCCCAAGTGCCTTGGCGGTTTCCCTCCCCATGCACCCCAGGGCCACCCCCTTCCTTTGGACACTTGTAAGCCAGAGCCATCCTTTCTACAACGCCCAACATACATTTTTGAATGCCCAACATACCTTTGCCATGACATCTCTTCTCTCGGGGCCCTTCTTCCATTCGTGAGAGTGCTGGGCACAGAGCAGGTCCAAAGGAGGGGATACTCTTTCGGGGTCTACCAACGACCACACCGTGAGGTAACCGGTTCCACTTGGCACCGAGTAAAATGCTCGTGCAAGACCGGCAGCAGGGACGACTAATTCATCGGTGTCGACCATCATAACCGGATTGCAGACTCCTGGCCCAAGCGGAGTTGCGGATGTGGAGGCCAACGAGACCCCCCCATCTCCCATTCACGAGAGTGGTGGGCAAAGAGCAGGTCTGAAGGAGGGCGTACTCTTTGGGGATCCAAAGCAGTTCAGGGTCTACCAGCGACCACACAGTGAGATAACCGGTTCCACTTGGCACCGAGGAAAATGCTCGTGCAAGACCGGCAGGGACGACTAATTGATCGGTGTCAACCTTCATAACCGGATTGCAGACTCCTGGCCCAAGTCTGAGTTGCATTGCAGACAGATGTAGAGGCCAACGAGAACCTGGCGACAACCCTCTCTCCCACGCCCGTGCTGAGGGCTCCAAGGCCTCCATTTGTCGGTCTCGTGACCCGGCGGAAGGGGCCAGAAACTGGCCCATGACGGAAGCGGCGGTGTCCCACGAGAAGTACAAAGCGGCTTAGCTGCACAAAGGCCCTTCTCTTGGAAGTCGGCCCCTGCGTTCGCGCTTCTCGTTGTTGAGGCAAGTATCCTTTTAGAGCGGCTCCCGTTACCCCTACCGTTTGCTGGTAAACTCATGTCATGAATCATGAAATGAATGAATTCCAGTGTAGTGTGAATACCCCCTTATAATTTACCTTGAGCGTGAAAGGCTCGGGAGTTTTGGCGGGAAGGAGCCCGAAGTGCACAGGTGTGAACGGACCCGATCGAGCTCCTTCCCTACATGTTCTTTCGCTGGTGCTTTCCTCGGCCTTTTCCAACGTTCTATTCAATTTCCTCCTGCCCTAATCTACGTCCTTTCCCTCCTCGGGACCCTCTTTGCCGTTCTCGCTCGACGAAGCCGTCGTCGCCTTCGTCGACCTGGTCTCCATAGCCGCCTGTAACCCAAGGTGAAGTTATGGCTCATCATCATAGCATCATGTCACTGCGCTCCTCTCTACATCTGACCTGCTATCTCTGCTATCGCCCCCGAGGGCTTATCTCCCAATACACCCTATTTCCGCCAGCCAGCCTTGCTCTTCCTGTCTTCTTCAAATTGAAGTTATGGCTCATCATCAAGCCACTGCGCTCCTCTCTCTATGGGACCTGCCATCTCTGCTATCGCCCCTTGAGGGCTTTTCTCTCAATATACCCTATTTCCGCCAGCCAGCCTTGCTCTCTTCCTGTCTTCTTCATTTTTTTTCTCCGTCTTGCACTGCTCTTCGTTCTCGCATCTTTTCTTAATAAATTTGCCGTTCTTCTTATTTCTTTTTTTTCCTGTTCCTCTTGTTCTCCTTCTTTTCAACTGTTCGTTTGGACGCAGGCTTATCTCTTTTTTATTTTTTCCCGAATATAAGAACGGCCAGGCATTATCCCCGTATGTAGACTCAAAATTAACCCAAATACAGGTAGTATAATGACAAGGCGGTATATGCTATTGTGATAGATTGAAGATGGCAGCCGTCAGTTGTTGGAATCGGTAGCAGATGGATCAAGTGTGTCCCGCCTTGGTTGTATAGACAAGGCGCTTGCATCTAGACTCGAAGTCGCACCAGATACAGCTACAATGAGAAGGCGTTCCCATCTGTTTTATAGACATGGTTGAATAGGATAATATTGAGTAGCTTGCTGGTTCTCTATAGAAAGTTTTTCCATTTTTTAATGATGTGTACTCTTCTTGTTCTTCTGCCTTTGGCTGACACATACTGTCTCCGACGACGTTTGGGCGTTTGTATCTATGTCAGGCATCCGCTCTTCTTTGAAGCTGTCAAGACACAGTGAGGCAAAATGGTGCGCATCAGTGTGCTGAACGATGCCCTCAAGAATATGTTCAATGCTGAGAAGCGCGGCAAGCGCCAGGTCTTGCTCAAGCCTTCGTCGAAAGTGATTATTAAGTTTCTGACCGTCATGCAGAAGCACGGTGAGTAGAGTACACCATTCATTTTTTCAATCTTTTTCGATTCTCTCCTTCGGTTTGACGTCTCCTTTTGCCCTTTACTTCCATCGGACCGAATGTCGATCACCTACATTCTCTCAAAAGCCTAAGATTCTCTTAAGCTTGTCAAATCAGATATCCTAGAGAGTGGGACGTGTTTTTTTTTTGGACAGGTAGTCGTCCGTGTGATTGAAATTTCTTCTCACAAGCGTACGGTCAATATTGCGACTATCGTACGGAACGAATCTTTTCCAGGAGGCCTGTCCTGGTGTCTGGCGGTTTGGAGCCGATGGGTCAGAATGGCATGTTGATGTGTCAAAATTTCTTGAGAAGCTTGGCGCCTTGAACATGTCTCCCATCGTCCAAGTAGTCTATGTGTGTTGTCCTCTCTCTCTCTCATTCTCCCTGTCTCTCTCTCTCATTCTCCCTGTCTCTCTCTCTCTCATTCGCCGTCTCTCTCTTCCTCTCTTTCGTTTTCTCTCTCTCTGTCTCTCTTTCGTTTTCTCTTTCGTTTTCTCTTTCGTTTTCTTTCTCTCTCTTTCGTTTTCTTTCTCTTTTGTTCTCTCTTTCTGTTTGTTTTCTCACTAGGTCTCTTTCCTCGTCTTTACTTTTCCCTCTCGCTCTCTTTCGCTAGCTGTGTTTTCTCTCTTGGTAATGAATTGTATCTGTTTGTCTTCCATCTTTTGTCGTGGTCTGTCGCGTAGCTTTCGGTCAAGTAGCGTGCCTTTTGCAGCGAGTGTTGGAGTGCTGTCATGTCGAACAGTTATTGTCATGTTATTATGAAAGGCACTTGCCCCTGACCCTTGGCATCTTCTCTCTTAATCGCTGTGGTATTTATCTTACCCTAACCATCGGCACCTCCCCCTCCCTTTTCTTAATCCCCACTCTAGCCACGCTATGCTCTTATCTTCAACTCGTGAGTATGCTGATCGGTGATCACAGCAGTACTTCGGCATTCCCAAGCGAAACACGTGTATACATCAGAGTCATTGAAATCGTCCTTGGGTGTGTACTTCCATCTCTCCATATCTGTTCTTTGTGGCTGTGGTTGGCGTGGTCCCTTTCAATTGTTTAGTTTTGCTCTTTGGAAGGGAAGATCTGACTGTCATGGCTACTATGAATCTGTATATGAGTTTATTGATTGGATTGAAAATGCCGGCCTTTTTCTAAATTAGGGTTTGGAGGTGTGCTGCTTGCTAGATGTCCCTTCGGACGAAGTACTGATATCCGGAAAAGGAGTTCGCTGTGTATTAGGTGGTTATGTCGTTGTCGTTGAGTGTAATGGTATTGTTTTGTGGGTATGGGAGCGAAAATTAGGGCCCACAAGTCAAGGATGTTCTCCACACCGCCCCTGGGTTGATGTATTTTGTTATGGAGCGGTCATTATGATAAGCCATTGTGTCGTCGTTCGGAATTATAGATTGGTTGTCTGAGTTGGTACTGATACTAGTCTTTCCCCGAATACAACGTACGGTCATTATAGCTGAATTTAGACTGAAAGATGCACCAAATTCAGCTATAATGACCGTACGTTGTATTCGGGGGGAGACTGTAGTGTTTGTTTTTTCTAACTGATCTTTAGTAGAGGGCATTGGAGTCAGATGCATCCGTATGTAGCCGCAGTTATGGTCAGATGCATCCCTGTTCAGCGGCAATTGCGGTTAGAGGCATCAGTATTTAGCCGCAATTGCGGTCAGATGCATTCATCTCCAGCTATAAACGCGGCCAGAGGTGTGGAAGAAAGACCTGCCTTTCTATCACACGGATAAAACGTACGGTCATTATTGCTGAATGTAGTCCGCAAGGTACCCCAAGTGCAGATATAATGACTGTTTTGTTTGTTCGACTGAAGAAGGTAGTGAGAGTATACCCTACCTCGGTTTATTCGACTGAAGAAGGTAGTGAGTATACCCTACCTTCTTCCCCTAAGTACAACGTACAGTCGTTTTTTCTGTATTTGGGGTATCTTTCAGTCTAAATACAGCTATAATGACCGTACGTTGTAGTTGGGGGAAGAAGGTAGTAATGGGCTGTGCTGTCTTTTTATGTGGCTAATTGTTTTTTTTTCTTGTTATCGATTTTCATTGACAGGTTACATTGGAGAATTCGAGTTGGTTGATGACCACCGTGCGGGGAAGATCGTAGTGGAGCTCAATGGAAGGCTGAATAAGTGCGGCGTCATTAGTCCCAGGTTCAACATTTCCGTCAAGGAGATTGAAGACTGGACTGCCAGACTTCTTCCCTCTCGTCAGGTAGGGTTTTCGAAATTTCAGATTTGTCCTTGTCTGAGAGAACTTATGCTCTCTATGACCCTTTGCATAATCACAATCAACGCGCGCTGTTCGCGGAACTGATCTCACGTGGGGTCAACGATGGATTTCGTTAGTGTTCTGATGAAAAAGAGTCGCATAGGGCCCTCCCTCCGCGTCCTCTTAAATGCATCATTCCCCCCCACCCCACCCCACCCTACCCCACCCTACCCTATAAATGCATTAATTCGATTTAACAAAGGTTCGTGTTTCTGATCTCACGTCGGGTCATCAATGGATTTCGCGTAGTCTTCTGATCAAAATTACATAGCTCCCCCCAATAGTCCCCCCCCCCCCCCCCCCCCCCCCCCCCCCCMCMCCCGTTCTTACAAATGCATCCTTCGATTTCACCAAGGTTTGGCGTTCGTATCTGTTAATGAGGAGAGTCGGAAATTAGGTCGAGGGCTCGAAGCCTTAACATTTTTTGTTAAAAATATAAAAGTTTTTTATGTGGCATTTCAAGGAATTCATCTATCTATCCTTTGTCGAGACTGCGAGACGTATGACTGCCAGGTACGTTTATCAAGAGCTACTACCGTCTTCATCCGAATAGTTCTGCCCGGTCATTATCAGTGTATCTAGACTGAAAGTTGGGCCAAATACAGCTACAATGAGCGGGCGTTCTACTCGGTTGAAGACGGCAGTAAGCGATTATCACTGTGTCTAGACTGAAAGTTGCACCAAATACAGCTATAATGAGCGGGCGTTCTATTCGGGTGACGACGGTAGTAAGCAATGATTATCACTGTATCTAGACTGAAAGTTGCACCAAATACAGCCTACTGTAATGACCGGGCGTTCTATTCGGGGGAAGACGGTAGTAAGCAATAATTATCACTGTATCTAGACTGAATGTTGCACCAAATACAGCTTTTATAATGACCGGTAGTTCTATTCGGGGGAAGACGGTAGTAAGCAATGAGCCTCTCTCCCTATTCTCTCTGTGGGTATGTTTACATCTCAGGAAGGAGATGCGTCTGCTGTCGAGTGCTGAGTGCCCGTGAGATCGAGAGGAAACGAGCTAGGGACCTCGGACTGTGTACTGAAAGTCTGTCTTCACCTTTAAGCTATCCCCAGAAGAGAAGCCAGGTGGAATATGAAAGGATTTGCTGCAGCATGTAAGAGCGTGGCGGCGCGCACTGGCAGTGTGAAAGCATGGGTGGGTGCGTTCGTTTCGAGGTCCAGCGGACGTTGACGAGGGGGCAGTGTGAAAGCATGGGTGGGTGCGTTGGTTTTGAGGTCCAGCGGACGTTGACGAGGGGGCAGTGTGAAAGCATGGGTGGGTGCGTTCCTTTTGAGGTCCAGCGGATGTTGATGAGGGGAAGGTTTTCCACGAAAGGATCGCTGTTGATGTCGATTGTGTTGCGGGTTTAGCCTGGGCACCCAACGTCTGTCTTCATCCAATCCGGGACTAGAAAGCGTTCACCGAAAGAGAGAAATAACGTTCAGAGTGTGAAGTAATGCCGGGGTGGGGGGAGGAAAGGCCGGGGCGCATTGGGCTTGAGGTGCACGGGTCGTTTTATTTTGAAGTAATGGGGCTTGCATTTTTTTTTTCGTGAGGTGCAGCGAACGGGTCATGGGTGTACCAATTGAGGTAGCCTGGTTGGAAATTGGGTTACTTTTACAAAAGGGTCGATCTGGTAATATCAGAACTTCCTCTCGTTCATTATTACCGCAGTAATTGAACTTAACGGAGCCTTCTTTGTCCGTCATACCCCGGAGAAGGGATATTCGCTGGGCTAGTTTTACAAATGGTTCGATCTGGTAATATCAGAACTTCCTCTCGTTCATTATTACCGCAGTAATTGCACTTAACGGAGCGCTCTTTGTCCGTTTTACCCCGGAGGAAGGGTATCTCGTTGGGCTAGTTTCACAAATGGGTCGATCTGGTAATATCAGAACTTCCTGTCGTTCATTATTACCGCAGTAATTGCACTTAACGGAGCGCTCTTTTTCTTTTCATTATTAACGCAGTAATTGCACTTAACGGAGCTCTGTTTGTCCGTTCATTATTACCGTAGTAATTGCACTTTAACGGATTCTTTGTCCGTTCATTATTACCGCAGCAATTGCACTTAACGGAGTCGTACCTCCACTGTCTCTCCCTGGGCTGTGTAGATTTGCAATTATGGGCCTCTTCGATCTGCTCACCGAATGCCCAAAAGACTAATAATGCCAATGTATCTCTCCATGTTCTTGGGGAAGATTCGTTCTCATTTTGCACATTCGGTGAGTGGTGAGGCGAGCCCCTCTACTGCTGCTGCAGAAATAGTTTACCCATGTTCTCTTATTGGCTGATCTGGGAGTTTTATAGTTTCTCCATAACTAACGCTCACAGGTAATGTGAAGTATTTTTTCTGATATGACGTTTTTCTTTTTTTTGTTCTCTGATATGACGGACTCTTATTGTCTGATCTGTGAGTTTTGTAGTTTCACCACGTTCAGATTTAGGTAGGGTTGTGTCGCCTGTCATTTTGCCGTATTCCACGCCCACCTGTTTACCCCAGAATGATAGACAGCTGCATCTTTATGGGCTTTTTTAGTCGAAGGGGATTGATGTCCATGACCTTTTGCCATTGCGTGATTGATGTTCGCGGGGTAACGAACTGTGGGAGTGATTTAATTTTGCAAACTACTTGCAGCCGGCCAAACACCCGCTCGATGATGGATGCCATCAAATCTGTCCTTTCCCCGTTGTTTTAGACTGTCCGTTTTTTGTTGACCAGCGGGCTCATCGCGATGTTGGGACACTCTTGAACTGTTGAAATGTAGGCGCGAGCTCGAATCCAGATGGAACCAGATGAGCGAAACGAAAGAAGAAAAACTGTCCATTTGGTGCAGGGAGAGATGTGAACGTTACTGAGCGGATCATTATGTGAATGGAATCAACCAGAGTGGCCCGGGTCCACTTGCTCGTCCGGGGCAAAAAGGAAAAATAAAGAAAAAAGTGAAAATTATTTTTGTATTTAAAATTTATTTTGAAATTGGGTAATTAATTTCGATGTGACTGCTAAGGAAGGGAAGATGAGAGCATGCCTCCTGTTTTTCTCTAGACTGCCCTCTTTCCCCTGAATACAACGCACCCTCATCATGCACGTGTATACTGATCGAACATTTTGAATGCATCGGACGTCGAAAACGTCCAGATACGTTCAGTGCACTCTGTAGTTGTGCAAAGGACTATTCGTCGAACAGTATCTGACAGTGACAGCTCTGGAGTGACTCTGTTGCATTAACGGAGATTTGTCAACAATTGAACTTTATCTTTTCCATGAAGTTTTTTTTTGTTTTTTGTTTTGAAATTTCTTTTTATTTCCAACGGGCCAGTGCCCAACGTTTTCATCAAGTTTATCTCGATGCAATTACTCGTTTTTTTTGTTTTTCTTCTCTGCCCTTTTTTTGAAAGGGCGACAGCCTTGAGAGATATGGTCGTGATACTGACCGGCCTCTGGTAATTTATATATATTTTTTAACTTTTTCTTGTTTATTTGGTTTACCAATATTTCGATTCGAACGCAGGTGTGCATTTTAACAATTTCTAGGTTTACGTAAAACTGAGCTCAGCCAATTGTGTGGTGGAAAGTGTTTTCTGTGCTCATTTCTTTTCTCGTGATCTTGTTGATGTCTCTCTCTCTCTCTCTCTCTGTTTTCCTATATGAGTGTGTAGTTTGCATACATCGTATTGTCTCTTGATTGGAACTCAGGCGTGTGTATTTCGAGAGTTTGTGGGTGTACCAACTGAGATAAGCCCATTGTGTGGTAGTGTTTTTTTTTTTTTTCTGTGACTGATTTCGTTTCTCCTTGGTCTTTTTGATGGCTCTCTTTTTCTGTGTTTTCCTGTGTGTGTGTAGTTTGGTTACATCGTGCTAACGACGTCGAGCGGAATCATGGACCACGACGAGGCCAGGCGGAAGAACATCGGAGGCAAAGTTCTTGGCTTTTTTTACTAAAAAACGTTTAAGTACTTTGACACAGTTTTGCCTGGATGCCAGCAGTTGATGACGCGGCGGCCGATTGCTCGGTGCCTGCAAATGGTTAAGGGGGGAGGGGGGGGGTGAAAATGGACGTCGAGTACAAGCAGAGGAGGAAGTCGGCGAGAACGTTCCTCTCGGATCGACAGCCAATGGAGAGGCAAGCCGATCCAGAGGACTTCTTACATGTTCGCACACATCCAGTGTTGATTGTTCTTTACTATTGTTGAAGAGGCTATTGGCTCAAAAGAGGGCATTTTTGAAATTTGCGGATCATTTGGGTGTCTTTTCGCAACTCAAATTTGTCGTCTGCTGCTTAACGTCAAAAAAAAAAAAACACGATCGTCTTCACATTTGTCTGGTTGTCTGATGTTGAAATCTCTGTGTGCATTAACGGAAGTTTTTTTTCCCCTTTTTTTCTCCTATTTCATCTGGTGTTTTTTTCCTCTTTTTCTTTTTTTCTGTATTCGAACGCTGGTCTGCATTCCAACAGTTAGTTCATGGGCTGCATTCCAACAGTTAGTTCATGGGTGTTGTACCAACTGAGCTGCCTTCTTTCCCCCGAATACAACGTACGGCCATTATGACAGTTGTATTTAGACTGAAAGGTACCCCAAATACAGCGAAAATGACCGTACGTTGTATTCGGTGGAAGAAGGTAGGATGTGGGTAGGTAGACCAGCACACATTGTTGTTGACGTCATACTACCGGTAGCTACACATAATTGCTGCGACAACAGATAATAATTAATTACCGACGTCAACCCAACGGAGCTATAGGGCCCATTGGGGTCTTTATAGGCCAATTGGGGTCTTTGACTTTTAGGTTCGGTTGGGTTATTGTCGGTTTTATGCTAATCGTCCTCATTCAGTCATTTCATTTCGGTTGAATTCCTAGACCTTTCTAAACATTATTACTTTTTTATCGAGTCTTTTAGGATCTTGTCTTGCTTGTGAGGTTGTCTATGGCCCGCACATTCTGTGGAAGTCAAAATGATTGGGATGGCTTGTTGTAGACTTGCCCTTTCATTTTTTTCCCCAAAGAATGAATTACCAATTCATTGTTTGTGGTCGTGCGAAATTTGTTCTGACCCAGCCCAGCTTCACTTGTCACATTCGCAGTCGTCTTTTGGAATTCGAACGCAGGTCTGCAGTTCAACAGTTGGCAGGTGTACCAACTGAGGTGGGCCAGTTGGCAAGGCACGTCGTTTTGATAAAATGCTGAGTACTGGAAGTGAACGGTGACGTGAATAATTGGATGATCCGTCGAACACACACATAAGAAGAGGGGGTTGCTCAACAGGAGCGCTAACACATGCATGGATTCAATGCCTCCGAAGGGGATCTCTAACATATGAATGGATTCATGCATGGATTCGATGCCTCCCAAGAGGATCTTACACGTCAATGGATTCGATTGCTTGTAATATTCCGGGCCAATTTTCCTGGAATTGAATAAAAAAGAAGCGCCAAAAAAAGCGACATACGTCGGTTTCTAATTCAGCGATCTTATATTTCATGGAAGATTTTTTATAATATTAAACCACAACTCCATTCCGTACCTAGTTCGACAAACCAAAGTCGAATTTCCCCGAGCCTAGAATCTAGAGTGCTGCCTTGAGGAAAAATGAATCTTCGTTAAAACGCTCCTTGTTTTTCGTTGTGGGGGGTAAAGGAAACGTTGTATTTTTTCGGCCTATGAAGGCTCTCACGGACCATAGGCCCCTGCTCCTTGGATATAGCTGGCGGAAGCCATACTTAGCAGAGAGGAATGAGGTCTGTCAAGAACAGAGGGATGTTTTTCGTACTGACAGAAGCCATATTTAGCAGCAAGGAATGAGGTCTTCCATATTTCGCAGCAAGGAACGAGGTCTTCCACTACAGAATCCTTGGAAGAAACCGCCAGCACGTGTCGCTGAATGACACATCTTTTTCGCGTACACTGACAGAAGCCTTTGTAGAAACTGACAGCAGAAAGAAAAGTGAAACCAGAGGCTTGGAGCGACATCTTTAAGCCCTGGAAACGAATTTTGCAACAGGGGCACAGAGGGTACTGAAGTCGCACGTCTTTGAAAAGTACGTTCCGTACAGACTCAGCAGGGTTTCCCTGGTCAGCTGGGACTTCGGTAAGGGAATTGGGAACTGCCTGCATTCGGAGGGGGGGTATTGCCAGAATAGAAGATTTATCTACGGTAGCATCCGGGCCGCCCGGGTCGTCCTATTTCCTATTTTCCCGGGAGGCACGGCCGTGCAAACGAAAGAAAAAACTATGTTTTGCAGAAAATTAAACTGAACAACTTTTGCCTCAGGTTCACATCGAAATTCGTTACGTTACCAAATTTGAGATTAAGTCATGAATTAGCTAGGCTACCAGCCGCCCGGGTCCCGGGTGGCCAGCCCGTGCAAGGACCAAGGAAGGTCCCAGCCAGAAAAAAAAAAGAAAAAGAAAATCGTAAAAAAACTATGTTGTGCAGAAAAATCAACAGAACAACTTTTGCCTCAGAGTCACGTTAACAATAAAAAATAAAATCTATTTTTTTTTTTAATAATTTCTATTTTTTTGGCCCGGCCAGGCAAGTGACCCCTGGCCACTCTGGTAGCCGAGTAAATTAGAAAAAATTTTAGAGTTTATTATTTTTTAATATGTTTTTGGCCCGGCCGGGCAGGTGGATTCGGGGCACTCTGGTACCCTACAGGTCATTACTACGTCTTGGAATAGAGTCACTGACAGGGGGATAGCCACCCAAAGTAGGGCACTTGGTGGGTTGGGAAACGACCCTTCTTCCAAAGAGGAGGCACCCAAAGAGGACACTTGTTGGGGTGGGAAACGACCCTTCGGCGGGTTTGGAAACAACCCCTCCACTATGGAGGATCATTGTTTGCGTATCACATAGTGATCTTACTATGCTTTGAAATCACAGCTGAGATCGCACTATGTAGACGTGCAGAAGCGACCCAATAAGTGCCTCTGCCCGGCCAGTCTATTGCACTGACGTGTATGGAGTATTGTATTTGAGACAGATCGCAATAAGAGAACCCTAATCACAGTCGGGGCAGCGTACCTTCATCCATCACCACACTTGCTGCTCACGCTTTGGCAGAGAATTGTGTATAAATCCGATGCAATGGTGGTGGATGGAGTCTCACTGCCCGAGCGGCTGTCTGTGAACATCCCATTAGAAGTGAGGAGTCGCTGGCTAGCAGAACAACTCTAAATTATGATGACACGTCAGCGCAGCAGATATCTGCAAGCTGTGGAGCATCCTCCTCCCCCAACGCCCTTGAGCGAAGGTTGCAAGCACGGTCTGCCTTCCCATCACTGAAAGAACATGGTCTAGATGCAGAACACAAGGCGGACACCAGCGCTCATCTCTGGTGGGGCAATGCATGGGGTCCAGTAGAATCTGGTAATGGTGGAAATCTGACAACAGATTCAATTTCGCACCCGATTCAATTTGCTGGTGCGAAAATTTTGCTGACAACAGATCTCTATAACAAATCATTATTCTATTTAATTAGAGACGTTATAGATGTACCCAACACACAAGGGTTGGGGCTATGTTGCCATGGCAGTGATGTGGACTTTTTTTTTTTTTTTTTTTTTTGGTGAGTGGGATCAACTAATTTTGAAGTAAAGTGGAAACTGAGAAAAGACAGTATTTATAGATTAAGTGGCCTACGCCATGGTTATGGATAATGTTAGAACCATCATCTGGGCCCACTGAAGGGGTGCGTTTAGAGACACGAACACAGCTTCAGCCTTCAATAGGTTCAGTGGAACTTGGGTCATCGATTGCAATCTAGTGACATCCTTGTCAATTATTACAACCTTACAGATTTGCCCATGGCAAATTACATGACTACCCCCCACCACCCACCTCTCCCCTTCTGTGATGAAATTCGGAGGGTGTTTTTTTTTTGTTTTGTTTTTCGTTTGTTTGTTTGCACTAGACTAGGTATAATTGATTCATCTGACAGCCAACCCAGGCTGTGAGGTTTGCTTTGTTCTCTCCAGACTAGGGGCCTCGCTGCACTACTCTCCACATGCACAACAGACAAAAAATACGGCGGTGCATCTTTCCATATTCTAGCGAAAGATTCATTCTTATCGTTCTGTCAACGTCACTCGATGGGACGCTGGTCATGAGATGTGTCGTTTTCTCCGACTATGTATTTTTTAGCCATGGGGACGCTGGATGCGCTTTCGGATGGGGCCGAGGAGGATGGTTAGGTAACCACCCAGGTTGAGGTATTGCTCCGCACCAAAAGATCGGAGCCAACTGAGTGATAAAAACTCAATCTGGGTGGGGTGGCCGTATCATCGTCGTCGGATTGCAGGCTTTGCCACTCAGATGTTTCACATTGGAAAAAAAAGAAGAAAGAAAAGCATTTGTGTAACGGGCTGCAGCTTAAGCTAAAAAGTTGAGAAGCCTTGCTTATTTTCTGTGTATTGGACCATTTTTCGATTAATGCGTGTCATCCTTGGGCAGGGGCTATGCTAATAATAATGTTCTGAGTATCTGTATCGTTCCAATTTTGAACCACCAGTACTTGGCCCAGCTATCGATGCCGAGTCGGGATATCCCCTGCGCGCCAAGTCTTGCCGAGCGCCCGGTGCACTGTTTCGTTTTGATTTTGGCTGGCGTTTCCAGCCATTGTGGTTCGGTGCACTGAATACAAGGCAACACAGTGTCGGATACAGCATCAATAGCTGGGCCAAGTACTGGTGGTGAATGTTCACACAGCATCAATATCGCCAACCAGCATAGACTACAAGGCAACACAGTGTCGACCCGAAGGTCTATCAAGCAGAAACTGAAGCATGCAACCCGAGACATCAACACGTCAAAAGACAGCAAACTGACCAAGGAGCAGATGAGAGGAGGAAGGACGGAGAAGAAATAAGAAGTAGAAGTATGACAAGTCGACATCTCCGGAACGCAATGCAGGCTCGTAATTGAAAAATCATGAAAACTCAGCCTGAATATCTCATCTCTGATGTAGGCCTCTTGCCCAATCTTGACGACCATAGCCAATTAACCGGGCAACGACCCTACATGTTTCATCCGCAGGCGGTTGTGGACTCATCAGGGGTCTCTACTCGCTTCGAGTGCTGGTGGCTTAAACCACCCGTACCTCCCCGTTGTTTTTTAGAAATCGTGGCCGTTACGCGCCGTGACTTTCGGGGGTCGGGCTGGAGAATGCCCTGTAGCTTCCCGCACGACCTTCGCTTTTCCCAGAAAAAAAATAACAAAAGAAATGTAACGAAAAAGGGAAAGGAAAGGAAATCCTACTTTCAAATACAAAAATAAAAAATAAAAACAAAGAGAGAGAGAGAGAGAGGGCCGGAGGACACCAAATGTTCAGAACGAGAATGAATCTGCCTGCCATTTGGCAGAGGAATCTTTCTCATTTTGCAAATTCGTGGAGGGGAGAGAGAGAGGCAGAGAGAGAGACCCGGCGAGTTAGACGCGGCAGTCCGTGCGGCTCGCCGGTTCTCTCTCTCTCTCTCTCCGCGATTCCGTTTTCCAAATCGAGAATGCGCCTCGGCACGCTAAAACGAGAATGAATATTGCCGTGAATGCGCCAAGGTTCATTCTCGTTGTGCACTTTACAACGCCCACAGAGAGGGAGAGAGAGAGAGAGAGAGTCGGGGAGTTAGCCGCGGCAGTCCCTGCATCTCTCTCTCTCTCTCTCTCTCTCTCACGGCGCAATGCAGACCCTTTTTTTACTTTCTTTTTCTTTTTTTCGTTTTATCTGTTTTTTTCTTTGTTTTTTGTTTGTTTTACTTTTGGTTTTGCTTACATTTATTACATAATTCGATGTCCGGGAAGTACCGGTACGTATAAGCTCGTCACGGTAGCTGCAGGCCAGGCCTACCGGTAGCTTTAGGGTCGGGCCTTGACAACCGGTGGGTACTGGTGGTTTAAAGGATGTCCCGAAGGACATCTCTGTCTTGTAGCAACCATCCATTTTTTATTTCTTTTCAATGGAACAAAGCTCCAATCTATTCGTGGGGAGCAACACGTGCTGGGAACCGGGCCCAGCGTCCCATAGTTGGTTTTTCGCTCCGGCAAATTATCCGGTCTTACAGGCCCTCGGTTGGCGACCAGAAAATTATGCTCCTACCGTCTTCTCCCAAACATAACGCACCCTAAAAGTGAATGTATACAACCTGTATTTCCGCCAAGATACAGCCAAAATAAGGGTGCGTTGTGTTCGGGGGAAGATGGTAGCCAGGATCTGGGCTGGCAAAATTGCGTAATGCTAGTACATCTATCATAGTACTTATGGAAAACAATTTGCCCGGCTATGCCGATGTAAGGGGTGCTAATTTGTGCCTGCGGATAGTTGTGTACAAGACTACAAGTGCAATTTGGTGGTACCAACCTTGGCCCACCTCAGGTCCCGTGCATGGACATGTTTCCCACAGGACCACAGGACATCTTCCTGGACCTGGTATAGATGCAAGTTCGGCAAAGGGACTGGGTACGTAGTGCGTACCACGAAGGGTATTCCCATCTTTCAATAGAGTAGAGTTGTTTTCTGTTCGTTGACCAGGTACGTTGTACGCAGTACGTTGAGCAATTGCTTCGAACAAGGGGCAGCTTGGGAACATTTTGAACCAGGTTTGGAGTTCAAGGGGCTTCTGTCGAAATCCATAAGATTTAATGCGAAGATGCCAGAGATGAGCATTTAGGTCTTGGTCTGGGGTGACCCGTGCCAAACACTCACCGCCTGTCACCCACCCAGTAGGGTGATGGAGGCAAAACAGTCGCCCGCCCGTCACGCGCGCACATACTTTTTATATTTTAGCTTACCTAGACGCACCCATGCCCAACCCAGGCCTGCAAATTTCGACTCGCACCTGATCCAGTGTCTTGAGGGTTGGATGGGTTGGATGGGTGTGGGCCCTCTGTACCCCGCCGCTCATCTCTGGAAGATGCACATGTTTTGTTATGACACAGCACAGCAGAAGCATGACTGTCCAGTTCTTGTTGCTTCTTCTTGCTGTAATTAGCTGCTGCTTAAAGCTTCGCTCCATGTGGCTGAATGGTACGCATGTGGCACATGTAATTGTTGATAGGGAGTCTGATGGAATCAATCGTGGATGAATCATACGAATCCAATGCTGAACTCAATGGATGGCTGGATGGAATAGTGGTCCTCAGGCGCTCCTCAGGCTGCAGCTGCTGCTTCAACCTCCCTTCTCTCTTTTCTTTTTCTTTTGCGGCGCCTTTGCTCATCAAGATTCAAATCAAGTTTCAAGTTCGTCGAAATGTTTCGAACTCCCAAGTTGTTTATTGAGTCTCGACTCTTGACAAAGAAATCATCACTTCGCACTTGTGAATATTATTTACAGCATCGTTCCCGCTTGTGAATATTTACAAAATCTGCTACGCTCTTTTGCCCGAATGAAGCATTAGTCCGCAGTCAGCACATTTGCCGGCTTAACACCTCATCTGTGCATGCACGGGTTCTAATTGGCGCACTTAGCCTCGAGAGCGGAGTTTCTTAACATCACTACAAAAGCGGAACCATACCACCGTCGTTATATGCCTACAATGAATCAATTCATTCGTCATGGTAGAGAATCAAAACGGCGCAGTACGCAACGTAGTCGAATCAGCTTTAAACCAATGTACTCAAAAGCAGGGAGGACGCCTTAGTGTTTCAACAAGAGCACAGAAAAAAAAAGGTGGAGGCAGCGGAGGGACAGTGGGAGATAGGGAGGGGGGGGAGGGAGGGAAATAATCCATAGCAACGTCTGGAATTCTGATTCTCCAGTCGATCCATGTCCATGGTCTATTTTTGGTTCAGTGGGAGTTTTGGCAAGTACCATTGGTGGTTTTATGTACATGCATTCTTATACGATTGGAGGTACGCTGTGCCTTAGTTTAGGTTTAGGAATGACTTTGTATACCATGCTTGTATGGTGGCGTGATGTAATACGTGAATCCGCCTACGAAGGATATCATACATCAGTGGTTGAAGTGGGACTTTGTTATATGGTATGATTTTGTTCATTTCGTCAGAAGAAGGCTATACAAAAACCCCATCCTCCTCACTTGCATTTCTGCATGATGCCCTGCGAATGTTTATTTTTTTCGTTTGTTTGTTTTGTTTTTTGTTTTTTATTTTTTCTTTAACTCTGCGACCACGCTAGGGGGAGTGACATGAGCATCCCCTCCTAGCGATGAAACATGCAAATTGATTATTTTGTGAGTTTATGTCTGAGGAAGGGGAAACAAAAAAAAAAAGAAAAAAGGAAAAAAAAAAAAAAGGGTTGAGGGACATGTTGGAGTTTGGAGGCAGAATTCGATAGGCTAACTTTTCGGGAAAAGTTTGGAAATGTGATTCAAGCAGCGGAGTGGAAAACATTCAGAGAAAAGGGGTAAGAAAGAAAAAGGAAAAGCAAAAGCAAAAGCAAAAGCAAAAGCAAAAGAAAAAGAAAAAGAAAAAGAAAAAAAAAGGCAAGGGGGAGGGGTGGGCGGTGGGGGTTGGAGGGGGGGAGAGGGGAGAGAGGGGCAGAAGACAATTGTTGAGTGATGGATATAGAAAACATTAATTACCTTTTCAGGAATATTACAATTATCTGAAATAAATGAATATACTGTGGGCTGTCGATGGCCCAAATCAAGAAAGTTGCTCAAACAGAAAAACAAAAACTTGAATAAAAAGAAAAAAGAGGACCATCATTTTCCGAGGCGAAACGGCATCAGTCATAACCACCAACAAACGCCGCCTTTTTTTGTGTGTGTGGGACACATAAAAAGTGTGGCCAATAGTAATCACCACACCCCCACAGTTGCCCCCTAAAATGCCTCTCCTCCTCCTCCTCCTCCTCCTCTTCATCTACTTCCAATTCCCCCCCTTTCCTTCGTGCTCCTTACTCTCCCCTCTCTCATCTCCCCTCCCTCCTAACTCCACATACCACTTCCTTACCCCTTGTTTCCAGATCCTCCCTCCCCCTCCCTCCCCCTCTCCAGTAGGCTCAATCTCTCCAATAGGCTCAATCAACTTACAAGACCCCAGAGTAACCCTTCTGTGGGGTTTCATCGAACAAGCTGCCTTGGGCACGTGATCTTAACGCCACTCAAGTCCTAAGCCTCCAGTTTGTATGTCCATCAGCTCCTTCAGAACTGGACTGCTACTGCTTCTGATGCATGACATGCAATCCACAGGCCCTGCATGGCGTATGCAAGAGCCTCTGGAGCTGCCTTTGCTGCCATTTTTTCTGCTGCTCAGCCTCTTTCGTGTCACCGAGTGATGCATGTGTCAACCTCCTCCCTTCCTCCCTCCCTCCCTCCCTCCCTCTCTCTCTCTCTCTCTCTCTCTCTCTCTCTCTCTCTTGTGCGCACGCGCTCTCGCTCTCTCTCTCTCTCTGCATCCATGCACCCTGTCTCATCATCCCAAGGCGATTGCTTGCTTCTCCACGACCTCCATTTCTGCTCACAAGAAGAACAAATGTAGCTTATAGAAGTGAGGGTACTTCGTGTGTCGCAACGGTATTATGACACGTGTTTGAAGTTTGAACACCTGGTTATTGTAAGTGAAGTAGGGATGACAGCAATGCGACTCACTCTCTCGAGGCTGTGGAGTGCTTGTGCGATAGCGGCATGGGCAATTAGCAGTCGACGCCACGACTACAGATGTACAGAAGTAATTACAAAGACTGTCGATTAGGAACCCCCAACCACCCACCCACAACATTCGCTTGGAGCAAACAGCAGTATGCCATTAACAGAAGCTTTTCTGGGAAATTGGGAAATTGCACACAACTGGCGTTCCGAGGCCTCTGCCTCCGCCTCTGCCTCTTTGCTGGTCCTTGCCGACCCTCGCTGGTTCTTCCAGCCTTGCAGGTGCCTCCAGCTCCAGCTATTCTCTGGAGGAGGTAGTTTCACACTGGGACAGACACTGACCCATTCATCAGTCAGACGCAGGAAACCGGTCCCATCTGTGCTCCACTTGGTTCCAATCTTCGTCCCAATCCCATTCACACAGTTCCACAGTGAATCCGTCGATGTATGAAAATCTGACGATCTGTAGACACTCAACAAGGAAGCTTTCTAATGGGCAATGACCACAGTGTACACCGTGACAGAGAAGAAAGAATTGAGAGAAGAAAGGCAAACAGGAAGACAGATAGACGTGCAGAAAGCAGAATTCCAACGGAAGAGCGTAAGGGGTAAAAAAAAAGAAAAGAAAAAGGAAGTCGGTTCGCTCAAGGAGATACCCTTCATTGCAAGGTAGCTATGCTTGCAGGGGTTCTCGGATAGGGTCGATAGTTTCGAATATTTAAGGGGTCCACTTTTTTGTATAAGAGGGGTTCTATGCTTGCTTGCAGGGGGGTATGCTATGCTTGCTGGTACCCTTCATTGCAGGAAGCCTTAGGACTAGTGGCAGGTAACGGAAGGTGAAAAAAGATAAAGGAGATAGGCGAGGGAGGGTTCGTTGCGAGGCCGAAGGGAGAGATACGTAGTGGAGAGGAATAAGTTACAAGAAAGTAAAAAAAAAAAAGAAAAAGAAAAAAAAAAGGGATCTGACAAAGTAAACAATGAGAGGTGAATGGGTGGGCGGGCGGACAGCTGTCGGACGTCAGGTCAGGTGAGGCTATCCCCGATATGTTTGGGCGCTTGGGTGACTTGACGCATGCGTAGGGTAGAGGGGGGGGTACCTCTATCATAGAGCTGGGAACTTAGACAGAGAGCAAAGGATGCGGAAACCGCAACAATGAGAATGAAGATGCTCAGTTCTGAGATGATCTGCAGATTATGCTTTTTTTTCAGTAGAGTCGCTCCAAGACGTAGTCTATCAAACCTTCTAGCGATTGCCGAACACGGCTCTGTGGAAGACATTGCAGACAGTTCCGCGCCTTTTCGCCCTCGGCCTCCGCCAATTTCCGGGCATCGTCGATACCCCCTCCGCTAATCACAAGTTCGATTGCCCTCTGTATCGAGTCGTTGTCAGTAAGCTCTGCTTCGATGAGCTTTCGGAGCTTGGGCTCCCTTTGCAAGGCGAACAAGGCCGGGGCCGTCAGATTGCCGCTGGCGAGATCGCTCCCGGCCGGTTTCCCGAGTTGTTCGGTGGACTGCGTGAAGTCCAGAATGTCGTCAACGACTTGAAATGCGAGCCCCAAGTGTTTTCCATAATCAAACATCTGTGAGCGTACGTACTCACTCACGCCACTGAAGATCGCACCGCTCTTTGAGCTTGCTGCCATCAAAGATGCTGTCTTGAAATAGCTCTTCTCCATGTAGCCATCTAATGTCAAGTCACAGTCAAAAAGACTTGCAGCTTGTTGGATCTCTCCATTCGCAAAGTCAGCGATAACCTGATAAACACACACACAAACACACACACACACAAAAAAAAAAAAAAAAAAAAAAAAAAAAAAAAAAACAAGACATAGTTTTTAATCAAATTTAATGTAGGCTACCAGCTGGGCCACCCGGGTCATCCTAGGTTCCCGGGCGGCCAGGCCGTGCAAGCACCACGGAAGGTCCCAGCAAAAACAATAAAAAACAACTAAAAATCCAAAACCTCCGAAAAAAAAACTATGTTATGCAGAAAAATAAACTGAACAACTTTTGCCTCAGGGTCACATCGAAATTCCTTACCAAATATATTTTATTTTTTAAAAATTTAATTCGTTTTTTCAACTTTTTTGCCCGCCCGGGGAAGTGGTCCCGGGCCGGTCTGGTAGCCTATCATTTAACGATATTTAATATTTACTTATTAATTAGTATTTAAATATTTATTATTAATTTATTTTTATTTGCATATGCAAGGAAAATGAGCATCAGAGAGGGAAATGACAGAATTCCAAATAGCAACATCACATTAAAACCCGGGTAGTCGTAAACTGTCCAGAAAGCAGAAATGCACTGAAATCGCACCGAAGGAGAACCAAACCAGCGAACTCAAGTTTGAATTTTGCTGCGTACATTTTGGCCAGAGAGTGACGTAAAATAGTGGAAAAATACCAATTGTCAAATGAAAGCCGTCTCTCACCACCATCAACCATGAATCGGATGTTTTCGCTCCCTATCGGCGCGCAGCGCCCAGACTACGATGGTACAACTACTATGCTAACCCTACTGAAATAACAAAGCCACCGGTTGACATCAGCAGAAGCAACCGAAGTACATGCAGATGTCGCCCATGCAGACCTCCGCGACAAGCAGGTACGTGCGGACTTTGTCCTCTTTCTCTCACTCGCCCTTGAACTGCTCACCCTTGACTTCACCCCCCCACACGGCATCCACGTCACCACAGAAGAGACCGCCACCACCCGCGCTGGCTGTGCGCGCAAGCCTGGCTATGGCTGGCTTGGTGCTGCGCTTCCCCAAGCACCACTCTCTTCCCCCTAGGCGCCCGCATGCACCCAGGCACTTCCCGCTAGCGGCCACGAGCGCTCAGTCTTTGGTAGCAGCGCTGCCGCCGCCTTGCACGCAAGCTGGTTACACTTTATATACTGCTTTTCGAAAGCCTTCTCAACAACTTCGAGATCCATTTGAAGAGCACGAAGATTGACTTATTAAAAGTCTCTACTCTTCCTTGTTAACCAGTATGACCTGCATAGCTTTTTGGACTATTTTGAAGATAAAGCGGCCTCTTACAATGTCTGTCGCTTTATCCCAATTTGAATTAATTAGTTTATTTTGCTTGAAGTAATACCAATAATATGATATACTATTTCAATAGATATGCTGCATTAAGGGGGTATGGCGGAATTCGTATACGCTGCCCGAATGGCTCTCTTGTGGCCAGGCTCTTTCCTATATGGAAAGCGGAATAACCCCGGCGACCTTGTGCCCAGTAGCTTCACACTGGGCCCAACTGTCAGTGCCGAGGCCAGATTCAGATAGTGGCCTGGGCCCGCGGCTCTCTTGTGGCCAGGCTCTTTCCTATATCGAAAGCGGAATGGCCCCGGCGACCTTGTGCCCAGTAGCTTCACACTGGGCCCAACTGTCAGTGCTGAGGCCAGATTCAGATAGTGGCCTGGGCCCGCAACACTTCGTGGCGAGCCCCAACTGCAAGAAGTGCCAGCGCCCGCCCAGGCCCATTCAGATTCAGATAGAGGCCACTTCCCATATAGTTGGCCCATTCAGGTTGGCCCAAAGTGTCTGTGCCCTGTCATCGCCCCAAAGTGTTGCGGCCCAGGCCCCTATCTGAAGCCAGCCTGGGCACAGACACTTTGGGCCAACCTGAAGCTACTGGGCACACGCGAGGCGGGGCGAGGGTGTCATCGGGCCAGGCCACTTCGCATATAGCAAAGTGCCTGGCCGTGAGTCGGGCAGTCGGGCGCCTGGCTGCGATGCGGCAGCGCTGCTACTACTTCGAGCGCTCTGGTGGCTAGCACTAGCGCTGGTGCTTGGATGCGAGCACGGGCATGAGGTAGTGTTGGGTGCTGTGCTGGACCCATATCCCAGCCTCCATAGCCGGGCTTGGGCGAAGGATGGTCAGCGGAGGTGGTGGTGGTCCTTCGGTTAGAGGAGCGCGAGTGGGGTAAGGATGACGGTGAGCATGAGAGAGAGAGAGAGCGAGTGGAGGAGCGATGTGAGAGCACGTACCTGGTCTTGGCGGCGGTCTGCATGGTCGACAAATCTGCATGTACTTTGGTTGCTGCTGCAGACGTCAACTGGTTGCTTTGTCGTTTCGTAGGCTCGCTTCGTAGCTGTAGGATCGTAGTCTTGAAACGGTATTCACCAATCTGCAGTAGCGAATGCAGATCCCAGGGCTCGATCCCTAGTTCCCCGTCTTACCTGTGTACAGTATTAGTGTCAACCCGTAGACTTGAACCTGCGACCTGTAGGAACGCCAGTGGTAGGTAGGTTGTCGTAGGTCACAGGGTAGAAGGGAATCGAACTGTAGACCTGTAGCGTAGGAGTCTAGACAATTCCAGAGTCGTAGTTGTAGGATCTCCGAAGGGTCAAGGTTGTAGCCGCTACTTACCTGAAAGGGCAAAGTCGTAGCTGCTACAGTACCGAAAGGCCAAACGAGAGACTTCTAGAAGTGGCCTTTCGGAGTTAGCCTGTGTTCAACCGAGGCAAGTGGTCAAGTGGTGGTAGGCCGCCTCGCTGAGTCAACAGTCCCAGTTAGTCAGTCCGGTCCTGTCCAGCAAGTACCGTCTGGGACTGTGGGCACATCGTGGGCCAGGGGATACAGGGCAGACCAACGCAGCGCCGAAGTATAAATCAAGAGGTTGCGTCCAGTCATTCATTCATTCCTGGGGATGCCATGCGGAAGCGCTGCCTCAGCAGCTTGTGCGAGGAGGTCTGCAGTGCGCCCGAAGACGAAGTGGGCAGAGAAGTGTAGTGTAGCGACAGGGTAGTGGCAGCTAGCGCTGCCATAGCTGTAGTAGTGTGCATGTGTGAGTTCTGTGTATCGCGTGTGGGACATCCAGGGTGATCAAGAGTGTGAACAGTGAGTTGGTGAGGCGCACAGTCGCCATAGCCAGTGGAAGCGAACTGTTACTTGGAATCCATATCTCTGAGTTCGGTGTGGGCGGATGTCGCCAGTTGTTGTTCTGCTGTTCACTTGCATGCAAAGTGTGAAGAACTCGAGTCTGATTGCAGTCTGGGCGCTGAGCGCCAGCGCCCGTAGTGAGGAAGCGCTTCGAGTACATTGTTGTTGGTGGTGACTCGTGAGAGAGGGCTGTCATTGACAATTCGAGTTCGGTGATTTGGTTCTCCTTCGGAGTGATATCCATGTGCATTTGTGCTTTCTGGACAGCTTACGACGATCCGGCACTCAATGCGATTTTTTTTTTTTAATTTGAAACGCCAGAGCAGCGTCACTAAGGGATTTTGGAACCTGGGATTCTGCAATTTCGTTATTGCTCATTTTCCTTGCACAAAAAAGGAAAGAACATAAATGAAAGCGAAGTGAATGTGCATTGTGCAATGAATTGGAATGTTAACAAAAAGGAGTAGATGACCTGTTGCGGCGTCGCTCGCAAAAACAGATATGATGGGTGATGCATTCATGGTTGTGGCGTGCCTTTAATCCCCTCCCCACACGCCTTCTCCTAGCCCT